TTATTTGTATTATTATATTATGTTTTATTGTGCTATCATTTTATGTGTTTTACTTTTACATATGTTTAAAAATCCACCATAAATTGTTCATCTGTTGCTTTAAATTGTAAAAGTAATTTTTCTCAAGAAATTTACAGAAATTAAAAAAATATGTGCACTGACATATTTACCATTTCCAGTCTTCTGCATTTCTTCCTCCAGATCTGAGCTTTCATCTTGAACCATGTGTTCTTCTTCCATCTCATTTTTTTTGTCTTACAGGCTTATTGGTGACAAATTCTTTTACTTTTTGTTTGTCTGAAATTTTCTTTCTTTTTTTTTGAAGAATATTTTTGACAGGTATAGAATACTAGATTCACAGTTTTTTCTTTCAGTATTTTAAAGATGTCAATTCATTGTCTTTGGACTTTCATTTTTTTAAAATAATAAGTCAGTTATCATTCTTATTTTTGCTCCTTTGAAAGCAATATGCCTTTTATCTCTAGTTGCTTTTAAACTTTTTCTTTATCCTTGGTTTGCAGGAGATTGAGTATGATATGCCTAAGGGTGGTATTTTGTATTCATATTGCTCATGTTTTCCTGAACTTTTTTGTTCTGTGGGTTCATGTATTTAATCAAATTAGGGAAATTTTCATCTATTTTCTTTAAAAATATTCTTTCCTCCAAATTCTCACTCAATTCACCTTTTGAAACTCTGATTACACATATGCTGAACTATTTAAGATTTTCCTAAGGATTTCAGTTGCTATGTTCTTTTTGATTATTTTTCTATCTGTATTTTAGTATGAATAATTTCTATTGATCTGTTTTGCTTTCAATGACTCTTTCTTTGGCTGTGCCCAGTCTGCTATTAAGCCAAGTCAATGTATTCTTTATTTCCAATATTATATTTTTCAGTTTTGAAGTTTTTTGAAATTTTCCTTTAGTTATTTTAATTTTTTATAAGCCTGTTGAAATTTGCCATATGTTAGTCAATTTTATATTTCCTTTATCTAAATTTAAATAAGTAATTTTAGTAATTATTTAAAAGATTTTGTCCACTAATCGCAACATTCAGGTTACAATTGGATCTGCTTTAATTGAATATTTTTTCTTGACCCATAAATATGATTATGGGTCATATTTTCTTGCTTCTTTGTAGTTTTAGTGTTTTTGATTTTATGATGCCGGACATTGTGAATATATTGTAGACTGGATTATGTTATTTGTCTCTACAGAGAGTTGAGTTTTTTTCTGCGTGCAGTTAATTTGCCAGCAGATCACCTTGATCCTGTTGAGACTTGGATTTAGCTTTTGCTGTAATGGGTCTGTTTCAGTTTTGCCCTTAGCCTGAGGGCTTAGTCCTTACTCCTAGGGTATGGATTTCAGGGGTCTCACCTTGATGCCTGGCTTGTTCACCAAAGCCTCTCTACTTTCACCAGGTCAGAATACTAATATCTGCCTAGAACTGTACATCCTCCGTGATCTCTGTTCAGTTCTTAGTCTCCCAGCACCTGTCATCTCTTAGACCTATGGAGACTTGCCATACACCTAGAATGTTTAGGACTCAGCTATGAACACAAGATAGTCCTTTATGCAGATGTCTGAGGGTCCTTTTCTTTGGATTTTCCTCTCCATCCTTGCCCCTCAAATTTCAGCCATCTTAGCATCCTGAACACTGTCTTTATTTATTCCATTGGTAGAAACTGCTTCCATTTGCTTGGGTTCCACTTCACTGTGCTTGATTTGGAAATTCACCATAGAGAGCAAGTTAGGGTGAATGTGGTAGTCACCTCGTTTTTTTTTGCCTCCTCTCAAGAATTTCATCCCTGTCCTCTCTGCCTTCCAAAGCTCACAAATTGTTGATTTACGTGTATTTGCTAGTCTTATAGTTGTTTATGTTCAGAGGGTAAGTGTGATAACAGCTACTCTTTATACCTGAAATCAGAAGTCTCATTTTTTCTTTTTAATTATTTTTTCTTTGAATTCGAGCCAAGTGGAAGGCCATATGGGCTCATGAACTAGGAGAGATTGGAAACTTGGAGAGTAAAACTAGATGTGTGACCTTGGGCAAGTGCCTTTACTTCTTTGGATATCTTTGTAGTCTTTGCCTTTAAGATGAGGGTAAATATTAGTTCTGTGGATCCATACATTGCTGAGAAAATAAAAAAAAAATACAGCTACCATATTCATACCTATAGAGATTCTGATTCAGAAGATCTGTGTGGAGTCCATAATTTCTTTTTAATAAATAGTCTAGGTAATTGTGCTGCTCAGCTATGTTTGAGAAATATTGGATTTGATAATTTCCTGGGTCTTTTCAGGTCTAAAATTCTATCAGTCTGTGGGCTTGATGTTAAAGTAAGTAAGTGAAAAATCTGAGAGACGAAAAAGCATAGGATAGATAATTTTTTTGTCATGGCGGAAGTTGGTGTTGGGGAGTAGAAGACAGAAAAAGGCAAAAGCAATCCAAAGAGCAAGGACAAGTTTGGATGTGTCCCTTCACTGGGAATCTGATCTGCTAGGATTCACTTTGAGAGCACTGAAAAGCTAGAAAGTCAGTAGATAGAAATGCTCAAAGTCAGGTGGGTGGACGGCAGGGACAGTAAAGGGAATTTTGACTAGTTAGTAATTTAGAGAAAGGCTGCTCTTGGCAGAGTTGAGAGCAGTTACCTGACAGATGTTTATTGTTACCATTAAACTCACACTCCGTGAGAAGACAGGGGAGGGGATGCAGAGAAGGTGGGTGGACTGGACCTCTGGGAGGCAGTGGAACCATGGGAGCATCCCCCTTTGCCTCCCCCCACAGCAATGATCCAAAATGCAGATCCTCATGTACGGGCAGATATGGCAGTGCTGGCTTAGCCTCCCCACCACTCACCCCAGTGTTGTTGAGTGGTGCACAAGTCCTGAGGCTTCAGGACAAAGAACAGAGCCGGTAACCCAGCCCCCTCCCCTTCTCACAGCAGTGATGCTGGTCTTTTCACCAGAGGTGAAAGCATCTAAAACACAGATTTCCCTGGCCGGAGTAGCATACCCTTGCCTGAGGTTTCAAAGTACGCCAACACGTGTCAGTGACCAGAGATGCAGGAACAGCAACAACACTCGTCGCTTAGTGCTTGCCCCTCCCCTAGCAGTGGCAGTTGGCACATGTGACCTGAGGTTTCAGGAACCCATGATCCAGCCCACAGTGATGGCACCCTCAACACTGGCTCTATCAGCACGTGAAAAAATGTTCAACATCACTAATTATTAGGAAAATGAAAATCAAAAGTACAATAAAATATGACCTCACACTCATTGAAATGGCTATTATTAAAAAGACAAGAAATAACAAGTGTTGGAGAAGGTGTGGAGAAAAGAGAACCCTCATACACTGCTGGTGGGAATGCACACTGGTGCAGCCACTATGGAAAAGAGTATGGACATTTCTCAAAAAATTAAAAATAGAAATACCATATGATCCAGCTATCCCACATCTAGATATTTACCCAAAGAATATGAAAACACTAATTGGAATAGATATGTGTACCTCTATGTTCATTGAAGCATTATTCACAATAGCCAAGACTTGGAAGCAACTCAAGTGCCTATCAACCGATGAATAGATAAAGAAGATGTGAAATATATATATATATATATATATACACACACACAATGGAATACTACTCAGCCATAAAAGAGAATTGTGCCATTTGTGACAGCATGGATGGACCTTGAAGGTATTATGCTTAACAAAATAAGTCAGGCAGAGGAAGACAAATGCCACATGATTTCACTCATATCTGGAACACAGACAAACAGATTGGTGACTATCAGAGGGAAAGTGGGTAGGAGGAGGGTGAAAGGAATAAAGGGACACATATGTATGGTGATGGATGGAAACCAAACTTTTGGTGGTGAACATAATGCAGTCTCTACAGAATCCAAAATATAATGAGGTACACATGAAATTTATGCAATGTTATAAACCCTTGTTACCTCATTAAAATATTAAAAAATTAAAAAGGAAAGAATTGTTCCTAAAAGTGAAATCAATAACAAAGGTAGAACAAACATTTTCTTCTTCCTTTGACAAAGTAACCTCTGAGGAAATGGTCTTGAGGGAGTCTCTGTTTTAATAATTAGGCTGCTGATACCTCTAATCCTAATAAAGATCTTTAATTTCCTGTTACCCACTGGTCAGGAAAAGGCAGTCTCCTTTCTTGGTCTTTTGGGCAAATCAATAATTGGAAATCATCTTCTCTTGTGCAGAAGGGGTTACAAGGTAAATTAGATGTTCTGATCCTTTGGACTTGACTGGGAGGAGAGAGTTCTGAGCTCAAAGCTGTGTCTTCTATTCACTATGGTCACTTTCCTTCCCAGGACAGTTGTGGACAGGAGACAGTAGAGTGTAGCATACTGGCTCTAAACTAAAGGAAGGTGAGTGCCTGCCTGACCCTGGTCAGTAGTGTAACATAGTTGTTACGAGTGCAAACCATGAAAGTGAGACTGCCTAAGTTCACCTTCTGGCAGCAACTCAGTAGTTTTGGGACTTTGGGCTAGTTTCTTAACTCAGTTGTCCCATCTGCAAAATGGGGTAGTATTATAACATAGCTCTTAGTACACAGCCTCTCATAGTAACCACTTAAATAGCGTTAGTTAAAAAAAATTATCATTAAACCTAAAGCCACTTGGGCTAAGAGATCTTGGAAAAATATGACCTCACCTTCTTGATCTGAAAACAGTGACCCAGAGCTGGGAGCTCTAAGCAGAGTCACGTCACAGTGTCTACTGCCAGTCAGGGCTCTCTCCAGGGAAAAGGACCAGGTTTCAGTCACTGAAACAGAAGCAAGAGAGAGAAGGACATAGAAAATGGATTGACTTAAAAATCTAAAAGACAGATATCTTGTTTTTGGTATCCCTCTCCCTAAAAGCACCAATTCTCATGATGGAGGCAAGGTTTAGCTTCAAGTTGTTCCCTGGAAGTTAAAGTCACTTGGGCTGTGAAGATAGATCCATAGCAAACAGTAACAACTTTCCTACCATACTAAAGTTCAAATCTCTCTGTGTGGGTTTCATTCTCAAGAATGAGGGGTTGATTCTGGGAGGGTGGTGGTGATGTTTTTTTCTTTCTAAATGGTTCTCCTTTCTTGTCCCCACAGACTGCCCCTCTTGTATTCGTCTCCAGAGGAGAATGGCAGCTGAGAACTCTTCAGGGACAGAGTTTATCCTCGCAGGTTTAACAGACCAGCCAGGACTCCAGATACCTCTCTTCTTCCTGTTTCTAGGTTTCTATCTGGTCACTGTGGTGGGGAACCTGGGCCTGATAATGCTGATTGGGTTGAACTCTCGCCTGCACACCCCCATGTACTTTTTTCTCTTCAACCTCTCCTTGATAGATTTCTGTTACTCCACCACCATCACCCCCAAAATGCTGAAGAATTTTGTCTCAAAGCATAACATTATCTTGCATGCAGAGTGCATGACTCAACTCTTTTTCTTCTGCTTTTTTGTTATCTCTGAGTCCTTCGTCCTGTCAGCGATGGCATATGACCGCTATGTTGCCATCTGTAGGCCATTGGTATACACAGTCACCATGTCTCCTGAGGTTTGTTTACTTCTCTTGTTGGGTGTGTATGTGATGGGGTTTTCAGGGGCATTGGCCCATACAGGAAGCATAGCAAGTCTGACCTTCTGTGCCAACAATATTGTTAATCATTTCATGTGTGACATCCTTCCTCTCCTTGAGCTTTCCTGCACCAGCACTTATGTGCATGAGCTGGTGGTCTTCGTAGTTGTCGCTGTTGACATTGGAATGCCCATTATCACCATCTTCATCTCTTATGGTCTAATCCTCTGCAGCATTCTCCACATCCACTCTGCTGAGGGCAAATCTAAAGCCTTCAGTACATGCAGCTCCCACATAATTGTGGTCTGTCTTTTCTTTGGTTCTGGGGCTTTCATGTATCTCAAACCACCTTCCATTTTGCCCCTTGGCCAAGGGAAAGTGTCCTCCTTGTTCTATACCATTGTAGTGCCCATGTTAAACCCGTTGATCTATAGTTTGAGGAACAAGGATGTCAAAATTGCTCTGAGGAAAGCCTTGGGAATAAAAATATTTTTGTGAGAAAGTGTAGTATTTGAGGAAGGAGATATAGTGCTTTGTTTATTAGTGTGTGTGTTTTCAGTGAGAGATAGAAGTTCCAGTTTTTTTTCCTGTACAGAAAGAGATTTTTAATTCTTTATATTTGTATGAGTTTTTAGTGCAGGTCTATTTTCCTTGTCCCTAGACCCATCTTGACTATTCCAAGATTATTTTATGCGATTTTTTCTGCAATCATAGATCATTTAATCTTGAATAGGCATTATAAATAATTTTATCTAACTTCTTCATTTAACAGACATTAGAGACCTAGAAATATTACATATGTTATCCAGGGCTATGCAAGTACCTGGTGATGCAACTGGGACTGGAATCCTGGTGCTTGAATTCCATTCTACTTTGCTTTCTTTTATGCCATATTTTCTTGCTTCATTGCTGCCCTTGCATATTTCATTTTGAAAGTATGATATCTTAGCATATTAAAATCTGAATCTATTTATAGTAATTTAATGTAACTTCTCAATAACTTTTTTTTGAGGAAGATTAGCCTTGAGTTAACATCTGCTGCCAATCCTTCTCTTTTTGCTCAGGAAGATTGGCCCTGAACTAACATCTGTGCCCATCTTCTTCTACTTTATATGTGTGACACCTGCCACAACATGGCTTGATAAGTGGTGCATAGGTCAGTGCCTGGGATCTGAACTGGTGAACCCTGGGCTGCTGAAGTGGAGCAGATGAATTTAACCGCTATGCCACTGGCTGGCCCCACAATTAATACTTTTTGAATATTACTTCTTTTTTCCAAGAGGGTAGGAGGTTAAAAGTTTAAATTGGTCTTGGCAAAATGACAAGAGAGGCATGTTGTGATTGTGGGGTGTGGGTGGCAAGTTTGTAGGTCTCAAAATCATGTAAAGCATGGTAATTCATGAGGTCATGTCTGGAAACCTAGGGACCCAGCCTACTGTACTAGGACTTCTGGAGGCTTAAGGGTTATAAAGATGTTGAGTGGAAAGTTTCATACATTATTTCAAATCTAAAAGGGTCAGAATTTAGAGCTTTTTTCTAAGTGTTAGTTTGGGTGTTTTAGCTATGATGTAGAAATCTGTGGCTGAAGGGTAATCACCTAAGTGTCTGTAAGTTCTCAAGGAAGAGTAAATAATTGGGGGATCTAGTGAGTTATCAAGGTAGTTCCAGGCAGCTGATTACTAGAGGGAGCAATTTTCATCAAATTTTATGGAACAGCAGATTGCACAGATCTTCTATAGAGGCATAAACCCGTCACCTTGGGACTGGTTTATAAATTGACAACTGAAAAAAAAGAGAAAAAAATAAATCCACAACATTGGATAAAGAGAGATACAGAATACATCAGAACTCTTGGATCTCAATGACTTAGTCATAAAGGAAGGTTCTTTGGAGAAGTACTAAAATAATAAGTGCTGGGGAGACATTTTGACTTGTGGGCTTTTCTTTGGGAAAGAAGGAAGTTTAGATGAGGGTTTATTTTTGCTCTTTAGTACAACACAAAGTGTGTGAAGTGATAAAACCAAGAGCGTTGGGGGAAGATTTTTCTTTAGACAGCATGGAATAGGGAAAGAGAACTGTGTTCGGGAGACCTGTGGGGGTGTGTGTCAGGTGGGTGAGGTGAATAGGCCACATTCAGTAGGTAGCAGAGGAAACAGCAATTTGTGAGGCATATAGAGGAGATGGTTTTGTATCCTGGCTCAGTTGTTTAGAAGTTGTGTGACTTTGAGAAGATGATGCAATGTCTCTAAACATTAATTTCTGTATTTTTAAAAGAGAGACAATGATCTTGAGTCCATGGGGTTTTTGAGAGAAATAAATGCCAGGCACTTAATGAATCTTAGTTCCCTCCCTGCTAGAACTCCTTGATCCAGTTTCAGCACCTCCTCTAGCTTTTGCCTGATCTGAGGAAATCACTTAATCCTCCTGGAACTCTGTTTAGTCATGAGACAATGGACTCTTCTCTAATTTTCATTTAAAAACTATATTAAAGATTATTAAAATATATTAAAATATATTTTAACTGAGTAATACTTGCACATGGTAAAAAGTTAATATAAGCGGAGATTGTACAGTAAAATTGTGTCTTCCTCTTATCTAGTCATTCCATTCCAGAATTCTCCTCCTTAAAAGCAACAATTTTTGCTAATTCCTTATGAATCCTTCCATATTCAAACATATGTCTCTCTCTCTCTCTATGTATGTGTATATATATATATGTCTAGTGTCCATTCTTGTTTTAAAGTAGTATAAAAGGGTATTTAAGAATTATTTTTTCAATGGAAACAGCTTAGAAGTGGATGGGACACAGAACATTTCTTTTTTTTTTTCTAGATCCCTTTATTTTATTTTTATTTTTGTTGAGGTCACATTGGTTTATAACATCATATAAATTTCAGGTGTACATCATATTTCCATTTCTATGTAGAGTACATGATGTTCACCACCTAAAGACTACCATCCATCAGCATACACATGTGCCCAGTCACCCCTTTTGCCTTCCTCCCTTCCCTCTTCTCCTCTGGTAACCATCAGTCTAATTTCTGTATCTATGTGTGTGTTTGCTGTTATCATTGTTGTTTTTATCATCTGTTTATGAGTGAGATGAGACATATTTGACTTTCTCCATCTGACATATTTCACTTAGCATAATACCCTCAAGGTCCATCCATGTTGTCACAAATGGCGAGATTTTATCTTTTCTTATAGCTGAGTAGTATAGATATATACCACAGCTTCTTTATCCCTTTGTCCCTGGATGGGCACTTTAGTTTCTTTCCAAGTCTTGGCTATTGTGAATAAGCCTGTGATGAACGTAGATATGCATATATTTTTATGCATTCATGTTTTCATGTTCTCTGGATAAATACCCCGCAGTAGAATAACTGGATCATAGGGTAGTTCTATTCTTAATTTTTTGAGGAATCTCCATACTGTTTTCCATAGTGACGGCACCAGTTTGCATTCCCACCAGCAGTATATGAAAGTTCCTTTTTCTCCACATTCTCTCTAACATTTGTTGTTTCTAGTCTTGTTAATTATAGCCATTCTGATGGATGTGAGGTGATGTCTCATTGTTGTTTTGATTTGCATGTCCCTAATAGTTAGTTATGTTGAACATCTTTTCATGTGATTGTTGGCTGTGTGCATATCTGCTTTGGAAAAATGTCTGTTCAGATCTTTTGCCCATTTTTAAATTGGGTTGTTTGTTTTTTGTTGTTGAGATGTGTGAGTTCTTTGTATATTTTGTATGTTAATACCCTATCAGATATATGGTTTGCAAATATCTTCTCCCAATTGTTAGGTTGTTTTTTTGTTGATGGTTTCCTTTGCTGTGAAGAAGCTTTTTAGTTTGATGTAGTCCCAGTTTATTTTTTCTATTGTTTCCCTTGCCTGGTCAGATGTGGTATTTGAAAAGATACTGCTAAGGCTGATGTCAAAGAGCATACTGCCTATATTTTCTCCTAGGAGTTTTATGGTTTTAGGTATTACATTCAAATCTTTAATCCATTTTGAGTTAATTTTTGTGTATGGTGTCAGATAATGGTCTACCTTCATTCTTTTGCATGTTGCCGTCCAGTTTTCCCAGCAGAATTTATTGAAGACACTTCGCTTTCTCTATTGTATACTCTGGGCTTCCTTGTCAAAAATTAGGTGTCCATAGATGTGTGGTTTTATTCTGGGCTCTCAATTCTGTTTCATTGATTTGTGTGTCTCTTTTTGTGCCAGTTCCATGATGTTTTGGTTACTGTAGATTTATAGCATATTTTGAAATCAGGGAGTGTATACCTCTAGCTATGATCTTTTTTCTCAGGTTTCCTTTGGCTATTTGGGATCATTTGTTGTTCCATACAAATTTTAGGATTCTTTGTTCTATATCTGTGAAAAATGTCATTGGAACTTTGATAGGGATTGCATTGAATATGTAGATTGCTTTAAGAAGTATGGACTTTTTAACTATGTTAATTCTTCCAATCAAAGAGCACAGAATATCTTTCCATTTCTTTGTATCTTCTTTAGTTTCTTTCAACAGTGTTGTATAGTTTTCATTTTACAGGTCTTTCACCTCTTTGGTTAAGTTTATTCCTAGGTGTTTTATTCTTTTTGTTGCAATTGTAAATGGGATTATATTCTTAATTTCTCTTCATGCTACTTCATTTTTGATGTGTAGAAATGCAACTGATTTTTGTGTGTTGATTTTGTATCCTGCAACTTTACTGCATTCATTTATTATTTCTAAAAGTTTTTCATGGATTCTTTAGGGTTTTCTATATATAAAATGTCATCTAATAGTGACGGTTTAACACTTTCCTTTCTAATTTGATCCGTTTTATTTCTTTTTCTTGCCTGATTCCTCTCACTGATTATTCTAATGCTATGTTAAATAAGAGTGGTGTTAGTAAGCATCCTTGTCTGGTTCCTGTGCTTAAAGGGATAGCTTTCTCCTTTGAGTGTGATATTAGCTGTAGGTTTGTCACATATGGCCTTTATTCTGTTGAGGTACTTTCCTGCTATACCCATTTTATTCCAAGTTTTTATCATAAATGGATGCTGCGTTGCACCTATTGAGATGATCATGTGATTTTTATTCTTCATTTTGTTAATATGGTGTATAATGTTTATTGACTTGCAAATGTTGACCCATTCCTGCATCCATGGACTAAATCTCACTTGATCATGGTGTATGAGCTTTTTAAGGTATTGTTATATCTGATTTGCTAGTATTTTGTAGAGGATTTTTGCATTGATGTTCATCTGTGATACTGGCCTGTAATTTTCTTTTTTGTGTGTTGTCCTTGGTTTTGGCATCAGGGTAATGTTGACCTTGTAGAATGAGTTAGGAAGCTTCCTTTCCTCTTCAATTTTTTAGATGAGTTTGAAAAGGGTAGGTATTAAGTCTTTGGTAGAATTCACCAGGGAAGCCATCTGGTCCTGGACTTTTATTTTTTGGGAGGTTTTTGATTACTGTTTCAATCTCTTTACTGGTGTTTGGTCTATTCAAATACCCTGTTTCTTCTTGATTCAGTTTTGGAAGGTTGTATGATTCTAAGAATTTATCCCTTTCTTCTAGATTATCCTATCTGTTGGAATAAAGCTTTTCATTGTATTCTCTTAAAATCTTTTGTATTTCTGAGTTGTCCATTGTAATTTCTCCTCTTTCATTTCTCATTTTATTTATTTCAGCCTTCTCTCTTTTTTTCTTGGTGAGTCTGGCTAAGGGTTTGTCAATTCTGTTTATCTTCTCAAAGATCCAGCTCCTTGTTTCATTTTTCCTTT